AACTGTATAAAAATCATTTAAAAAACAAAACTGAAACAAAATAGATTTAAATATTATGTAAAAATGTTATTTCTTAATTTTTTTTCTCTTTATAATAGTTGTACCTATTTATTACTTTACATTATATAATCTATCTCTATCTAAATAATTAAAATAATTATTAACAAATAATTAAATAATAGTATATTAAACTTTAAAATATTAACAAATAAAGATAAAAATTTCTACAAAGAAACAAACGAAGTGAGAAGGGAGGGAGTGAGTAATTCTTATGGAAATCCAAAAAGGACATAATATCAAACGAATTATATTTGTAATAATGAATAAAATTAAAATAATTATACAATGATTAAAATTATAATTCAGGGACATGTTTTTTGAGAAATTCTGGAACCCGGTTCTCTGTTAGGGAGGAACCGGTTCCTAAAGCTTTATTTTCAAAAATACTTTTTGAAAGATATTTCAAACAAAGTTTTTATTGATGTTAAAATTATGGAATATGTATATGTTGATGAATGTATATTGTGAACATCTATATTCAAGATTTTAAGAATTATTTATACCATATGACATTTGATGATTCTTCAATAATTCTTCAATAATCTTCAAGACTTTTATTTGATGTTGATAAGCTTTTTGCACATCCTTTGAATGTTGATGTCCATGTTGTCTTCATCAAAACACATGCTTTAAATATGACTTGAGAAGCTTGCAATTACATTCTCCCCCTTTTTGATGATGACAACCAAGTCTTGAAAACGATTTCTTGAAATGTTTTATGTTGTTTTGTGTAGTAAACATGTTGAGAAAATGCAAGGCTCCCCCTAAATTGTATGCTCCCCCTAAGTCCATGATTCTTTGAATTTTGGAGTGAGTTTGATATTTATTTGGGCTTGCAATTTCTTTGAAACAAAACAACACACATGCATATTCTTCTCCCCCTTTGTTAACATAAAAAAGGATGGGGAAAAAGAGTGAAATAGATACATATAAAAATTAAGACATGCATCTTAAGAGAAACATTAGATATCACCTTCATCCAAAATACCAAGTTCTCTTCGGATTTTGAAGAAAGGTTCTCGAGCAAGCGGTTTAGTGAAGATATCTGCGAGTTGGTTATGCGTATCCATAAAAGTGACTTCAACATCTCCTTTAAGTACATGATCACGGAGAAAATGATGTCGAATATCTATATGTTTGGTTCTTGAATGCATGACCGGATTCTTTGTAATATTGATAGCACTTGTATTGTCGCATCGAAGAGGAATGCATCTGAGATCAAGTCCGTAATCACGGAGTTGTTGCTTGAGCCAAAGAATTTGTGCACAACAACTACCCGCTGCTATGTATTCTGCTTTGGCCGTGCTAAGAGCAACACATGCTTGCTTTTTACAAGCCCATGATACTAATGCATTTCCAATAATGTGACACGTACCACTTGTGCTTTTACGATCAGTTTTACGACCTGCATAATCCGCGTCAGAATAACCAATTAAAGTGCAAGTACTACCTTTTGGATACCATAGGCCGACATTGATTGTTCCTTTAAGATACTTCATGATCCTTTTAACTGCCATGAGGTGTGATTCCTTTGGATTTGCTTGAAAGCGAGCGCAAAGACAAACACTAAACATGATGTCAGGACGGCTTGCCGTCAAATACAATAAAGAACCAATCATACCTCTGTACTTTGTAATATCAATTGGAGTACCAGATTCATCTTCCGGGGGTAAATCTATAGGATCATCATCATCACAAACAACTACTTCCTCCTTGGAGGGGTTAGTTTCATCAAAAGATACATGCATAGATTCTTCAATAGTTAAAGTTCTTTTATTATAAATTCTATATGCTTTACTAGAAAGCAAATAACCAAGAAATATACCTTCGTCGGATTTCTCGTCAAACTTACCGAGATTATCCTTGTCATTATTAAGAACAAAGCACTTGCATCCAAAAATGTGAAAGTGAGCAATATTTGGCTTTCTTCCTTTGAAGAGTTCATATGGAGTCTTCTTTATTATAGGTCTAATGATAACTTGATTTCCAACATAACATGCCGTACTAACCGCATCCGCCCAAAAAAATTTAGGAAGATTTGCATCACTAAGCATTGTTCTTGCAAGTTCCACTAGAAACCTATTCTTTCTTTCAACTACTCCATTTTGTTGTGGAGTTCTAGGTGCTGAAAAATTATGAGAGATACCATGTTCTTCACAAAATTCTTCAAATTGAGCATTTTGGAATTCTTCACCATGATCACTTCTTATGGATACAATCTTTAGTGATTTTTCATTTTGGATTTGCTTAGCATACTTCTTAAAAGCTTTAAAAGCATCACTTTTCTGCACAAGAAACAAAGTCCAAGAATATCTAGAAAAATCATCAATAATGACTAAAGCGTATACATTACCTCCGAAGCTTTTTGTTCTTGATGGACCAAAGAGATCCATGTGTAACAATTGTAGTGGTCTTGTAGTAGACACCACATTCTTAGATTTGAAAGTTGTTTTGGTATGTTTGCCCTTTTGGCATGCATTGCATAATTTGTCTTTGATGAACTTCATCTTTGGTAGACCAATAACTAAGTCATGCTTAACCAATTTGTTCAAGTGCTCCATGTGAATGTGAGCGATCCTCTTGTGCCATAACCAAGCGTCATTGTTGTTTACCATAAGACATTGTACCTTCAGAGACAAATCATCTAAAGTAATCATAAAAATATTGTTAGTTCTTATACCTTTGAGTTTTACCTCATTGGTTGCCTCATCCATAATGAGACATTCATCTTTGTTGAATTTGATCTTGAACCCTCTATCGCAAAGTTGACTTATACTAAGAAGATTGTGCTTTAATCCTTCAACATAGAGAACATCCTCAATTTGAATGGATGGAGGTGTGCCAACTATTCCAACGCCAAGAATCTTTCCTTTGGTGTTGTCTCCATAGGTGACATACCCTTTGGCTTTATGTACTAGATATGAAAATTGGTGTACATCTCCTGTCATATGCTTTGAACATCCACTATCAAGATACCAAACATTTGATGTGGATTTCAAGCATACCTACACAAACAAATTATTCTTTGTTAGGTACCCAAGTTGCCTTGGGTCCTTCATAGTTAGTTCCCTTTTTCACCCACACATAATGCCCACTTGCTATACTAAAGTTTCTAACATAGCAAGCATTAGGTGTATGGCCTTTAATACCACAATAAAAACAAGTAGGTTCAAAGTTACTTCTATATCTAGAAGGATAAGATTTCTTCTTAGGAAATGTTTTCTTTTTTGATACATTTGCCTTTTTCTTTTGATGATTATGAACAACTTGCTTCTTTTCAACTTTCTTGGGATTGAAACTATTACTAGCCTTTACAAAAACAGTGGGATTGTTACTTGGTTTCTTAGAATTCACATAACCAAGACCCCTTTTATCATTAGGATAACGTTGTTGGCTTAGTAATCCTTCCAATCCTATTTGTCCTTTTTCATATCGTTCAATGACTCTTTTCAATTGAACAATTTGAAAGACATTTGATTCACACTTGGAGCATGCAAAGTTTTCTTTTTCTTTAATAAAATTCTGTTTTTGAAGTTCAAAATCTTTAGTCATGGTGTCAATTTTTTCTAAACAACTTAGAAGTTCTTTTTCTTGTTTTGACACCTTTTTGTATAAACTTTTGCATTCTTTCAAGAGTTCATCAATAACATCTTGAATATCATCATAAAAAAGATTAAATTCATTACTAACCTCTTCTTCATTGTCGGAGTGATGTGAAGCCATTAATGCTAGATTTGCACATTCCTCACATGTATATTAGTTTGTAGATTTGATTTGTTTTACGGGTCGTTCTTGTTGTAACCTCACTTTCCTTTTATATTGGATTAACACCCCCCCTCCCCCGTGTTATTTTTTTAAAAAAAATCTTAATTTTCAAAAACTAATTTGGTTTCTTGGACAAGTTTTCATTTTCATTTCAAACCATGCACATGCACTTTTCTAAATCGAATATATTTGAATGCCCTTGCCCTTCTAAAATATCTTGTTCACCTTCTATGCAATATAAATGTAAATTTGTTAAAGTAACAAATAATAGAGTTAATTACGAACCCGCTTGTTTTAGTTTAAAAATAAATAAATTTTTTATTTTTATTTTCAAAAATAATTTTTATAAAAATGTTTTTTAAAATATTTTTTTATAAATTTGAAGACTAATTTTAATATTCTATAACATATAAATCTTAATATAAGTGATTAAAATATAGATGGAATTGTAGTTTTTTAAAAATTGTATTTCAAAAATATTTTTTATAAAAACTATTTGAAATAGTTTTAAAATTAAGTTATTTTTAAAAAAATTTAATATAAAAAAGTTATATTAAAATGATGAAATAATAAAAGAACATTTAAAAAATAATTATTTAATCCAAATTTCCATTTAAATTGTTAATTAAAAAATTATTTATAAATCTTTTCCAACAAAAATATATAACTATATAAAAATCATTTAAAAAACAAAACTGAAACAAAATAGACTTAAATATTATGTAAAAATGTTATTTCTTAATTTTTTTCCTCTTATAATAGTTGTACCTATTTATTACTTTACATTATATAATCTATCTCTATACTAAATAATTAAAATAATTATTAACAAATAATTAAGTAATAGTATATTAAACTTTAAAATATTAACAAATAAAGATAAAAATTTCTACAAAGAAACAAACGAAGTGAGAAGGGAGGGAGGGAGTAATTCTTATGGAAATCCAAAAAGGACATAATATCAAACGAATTATATTTGTAATAATGAATAAAATTAAAATAATTATACAATGATTAAAACAAGCTTTTACAACCTCACTTGGAAGCTTTTTTATATGCAATTTATCTATATTCATAACAATTACTAAACTATATTAGTTTCAATTGAGAAACTCACACAGCTAATTCCAAATAGGGATTATAAACTAAATAAATAGAGGATTTGTGGTCTCTAATTAACAAGGAATTTGGTCAACGAACCATCTAAGAACTCGAAGTGGAAGCTTTACCAAACACACAGCAAAATTGACCAAACCTGTGCAGCATATGCAGCATGGACACAAGCAACTAAATATTGACCTATAAAAATTAGCGGATATTGAAACTTAGAATATGAAAAATCATAGAAAATATTGCAAGAAATGAGAAAGCTAATTAAAAAAAAAAGAAAGTTTCATACCCGAAAATCCAAAGAATAGCACCAAGAAGAGATAAAATTAATGACAAGAAAGCAAAGGGTAATCCTAAGAAGAAACCCAAAGGTCTGCATTCACAAAATTCTTCATCACTTGTCATTCTTAAATGTGTGGATTATTTTCTGTACGTTTTGAATCTGAAAAAGAAGAGAAGAAGAATATTATTATTATATGAAGAGAAATCGGAATTTTAATTTTAATTAATTAATAATAAGCCGTCTTGATTTCGACGTAATTTCCAAGAGAAAACCCACCGTGACGGGAACTTCAATGACTTATTTTTTGTTTCGTTGACTATATACTGCTTCTTTGATTTGTTAGGACCATTTTTTATTTTTATATTTAGCTTCTATTTTCATGTTGGTCCTGCTATTTTTTTTTAATACTTAATATTCCTTGGTCTTTTTTTGTAAACTGATTTTTTAGTATTTTTAAACAAATATGAAGATTCCTTTTGTAATATACTTATAATTAATGTATATATTTTGTGTATTATTGTTTCATGCATGGCCTTTTGGATATCTAATATCTAAATATGTTTGGGAAATCACCACTAAATTATTCTTTAATCATGTTTATTTTAGTTAGCTTAATTTCAATGGTAATTTCAATTAATTATGCTTTGCTTGATTTATAGAAGTTTAGCAATTAATTTTACTCATGTGTCAAGTTGAGAATGCATTTCATGTACATACACTCTGCAAAAGATGAAAAGATACAAGTCATTTTCAAAATTTCAATTTGAATATTCATTTTTCTCTCTTACCTCAATGGAGCTCTCACTCTCCTCCGTGCATTGAAAATGAAAAGTCATATTAAGAGTTCGAGTGAGAAATTAAGCTATGTACTCTTTAAATTTGAACAAACTCCCATTTCCATTTCACCATATCCATTGCAAACTACTCTCATTGGAGCTATTCAAACCGTCGTTGCCGAATTTATTTTCACCACCACACAAACCTCTATTATCACAACTCATCAAACACAACCATAAACTCAACAAGTAAAATATGAGTGAAAATGAAAAAGGGAAAATTTATTTCAGATTGACGGACAACCAAACACTACTGCGAGATCCGCCGAGAAAGCAGCCAATGTATCTTCATGTTGTCATCGTGTTGACAAGTGATTTTCGACTTTAGGATTAGGCCACACGTTAGATGATATCCTTCGTCAAAGAGGAGTGTCAATGAGGAGCCGTGGGCATGTCGACAGGATTTCAGAAATTACACTCAAAGGTGGTCGACAAGATAATATCAGGAGTAAAGCAAGGTTGGCGAAGACCAAGCAGGTCGAGAGCAGAAGCGAGTGGCAGCAAAAGAGGTTATCAACGAAAAGCATGAGCAAAACATGGGAGTAATGTCGCACGAACTCTCAACATGGGTGGTTCAATTAACCGTCGACGGTTACATTCTAGCATTTATTTAAGCAAATTATTGCATTCGTTTTAGAGGTGACATTGTGTAACATTGTAAGATAACACTCAAAGTACCAGCGCATAGAGAAATGAGTCAGTTTTGAGAAATGTACGATTGCGTCCACCTTTAAATTCAAAACATTTTTATCTTTACAAGTCTTGTTTATCATTCCAGTCTTACAATTTATCTACCATTTACCTTTCTTTGTCTCTTATTTACGTTTTTTGCACTTTAATCATTTCAAACACTCAAACATCGTCAAACTTAACACTAAAGTCTAGGACTCTTGTAGTCGATCCTGCAAGTAACTTTTAATTAAGAGGCTAGAGATTATTCGCGAGAAACTCCCACAAACAAATTGGAACGCCCAGTGGGACACGTTGTGCTAAGTTCGTCTCGATCTGTGCATGAGATTGAGAAGTGGAAGAAAATGGTAGATCCTAGAACTCCATAAGAGGATCAGACCCTAGGAGGAAGTATTAGTGTAGCGGCGAGTGTGATTTCAAGTTCTGTGGTTGTGTCTTCGACGCCTATAAACATAGCTACCATGACTCATCCAGTAATTGCAAGACCAAGTATAGTCACGACCTCTGGGTAATATGTGCCTATTTTTGTAAGAGATACGCATAGTGGGGAACACGTGTATAGAATGCCAACAATGATGATGACAGACTTGCATAATATCGGTTCGACATTTGGTGAAAATTCACCGTCGACATTCTCCCCATATCATGCCTCGGGGCCTATGGGAAATTAATTTGGTCGTTCGATCGAATTGGGTTTTTCCCATCAAGTTATGCTTACTTTCACCCCGAGTACCATTACAATCATGAGGCGATAGATGGATGAAAGTAATCGTGAAATGGTCAATATACTTACTCAACAGATGAGTATCATATTAAGACTGTTAATCGAGAATTCAATGCAGAGTTACCAAACTTTGGCAACTCAAATGACTCACATCAGTGACTTTCTTGGTTCCCAAAGGGCGCTAGTTCGACACACTGCACTGCCTTCACACGAGGAATCAGTGTAGTATGAAAAGGTGGTTGGCGAGACAATCGATCAAGAACCACATATTCCTCAGTGTGTTGATATTATACCTAGGGTGTTCAAACAACCCCCAGTGGTGATAGTGGATCGAAACCGAAACGCCGACCACGTCGTCAGGCATGTTCGACGAGAGGCAGTAGCTGGGGAGCAGAACCTAGAGGCCATTGTCGAGCGAATTATGATTCGAAATGGGATGAGTAGTGTTTCTCAGAGACCGACGTATTCTTTTCCATTACCATATTTTTTTCTAGAAACATAACTACCTAGGGGTTAGAAAGTCCCTAAGTTCACTAAGTTTGTAGGGGATACAATAGAATCCACTGTTGAACATGTCGCCAGGTATCAAACTAAAGCTGGTGATATAGCCAATAATGAGGTCTCAAATTAAAATATTTCCCAAGCTCCATGTCGAAGAATGCATTTACTTGGTTCACAATGCTACCTTCCCAGTCGATTCACACGTGGAATCAGTTAGAGAAATTGTTCCATGAACTGTTTTACATGGGGCAGTCAAAAATAAGCCTGACAAAACTTGATGGGGTTAAACAAAAGGTTGTTGAGTCAATAGACCAATATTTGAATAGGTTTAGACTTTTGAAAGCTAGATGCTTTACTCAAGTCCCTGAACATGAATTAGTCGAGATGGTTGTGAATGGCTTAGACTATTCGATCAGGAAAAAGTTGGACGTTCAATACTTGAGATATATGGCGTAGTTAGCTATTAGGGTTTGACATATCAAACGCTTGAAAGCTGATAAAGCCAAAGCTGAAAAGTATTAAAAAAATCAAAGCTAGCAAGTATAAAAAGAAAGGTAAAGTTGTGTATGTAAACTCCGAAGATTATTCTTCAGACGACAGCGAGTCAGTCAAAGAAACTGAGTTTAATGTGGCTAAACTCCATCCTAGGTCTCTGTATGCTTGCAAACCATTAAGGTCGTCGAACGGGAAGAATCCCATCGAGACCGAGAAAATGACAAAGCCATCACAAAAATTTACACTTTTGATATAATGAAGTGTGATGAAATATTTGATTTGTTAGTATCTGATGGTCAAATTATTGTGCCTCAGGGTCTAAATAATCCCCCATTAGAACAAAAGAAGAAAAGGGGTTTTTACAAATTTCACAATTTTATTGGTCATAAAAGATCTCAATGTGTTATTTTCAGGGATTTGGCGCAGAAAGCTTTAAAGGAAGGCAAACTTCAATTTGGTGAAATGCCAAAAATGCAGGTAGACATGATCTGTTGAAAGTCGAGGAGGCTCTATTTACATAACCTTATGAGTGCATGATGGTCGAAGCTACTGAAGGTTTCAACAGTAAAGCCATAATGGTCGAGGCTACCGAAGGCCTTGACGAGACAAAGGAAAATGAGTTGCCAGTGATTTATCCTCAGCCTGAGGAAAGTTTGGCTGATTTTCAGGAAAAATTAAAATTGAATGGGTTAGAAGCTAAATTATGCCCAAGGTGTAATGTTGTGTATGACGAGAAAGCGGATGAAAAATATGAGGTTGCAGTAAAAGAGGCTTTCGAAGAAAAGAAGCCTTAAGTGCCAAGGTTTGTGTTCGACAAAGAAGGGGTGCCTCGACGCAACAAAGAATATTGTAGGAAATTTCAGCATCCTCGACAAAAGACTTTTCGTCCCCCGTCATACATTCCACGAGAAAAATGGGTGGAGCCAGTGAATCAGAAAGGAGAAAAAAGACAAAAGTGGAGAGTAGTTGTTCAAGAGGCTAAATCTCAAGAGAAGAAGCCAGAAACCAAGGGATATCAGGTTTCCCCAAATTATAAAGGGAAGAACCTGATGACCAGAACATAATGGAGGCGTTATCAGAGGAACAAGAAGGTTGAAAAGGAAGCCTCGACATCAAAGGTGAGGATTATCGGAACTCTGAAAGACATGGAAATTATGAGGCCTGTCGAAAGTATGAAGCAAGTGGGAGCCAACAAAGTTTTCGAAGTTCTAGGTTAGTTTAGTGGTAGAAATGTTTAAGACTAAGCCATGGGATTGACTAGACTTGTACAAATCAAAATAAAATTTTCACCGCGCTTTATTGTTTCCAAAGGAATGGGAAAAGAGCGAATAACCCAAAAAGAGGGGGAAATATTCAAGGTAAGGGGGTTGGTTATGCAAAGGGAAGTATTAGAACCCTAAACATCTACGGTACTCTGCAGGAACCTATTTGTAAAATCTGTATATTTTGACTATGAAATGTTGTGTAAAAAATGGACAGTGGAGGTGAGAAAAGAAATATATTTTTATGGTTTTTGCACCCTCCGCGGTTGTGAACCTTTAGTGCCTACGTACCACCTTCAGTGCAATAGGGGATCGGGGTACACGTAGTTCCTCTTTTAAAAAAATTTAAACACAAGTGTGTTGGTTAATTTTTATGAGATAAAACATCATCTTCATTGTCCGTGTGGAAAACATACCTACTACCCACAATCATGAGAAAGAAGAATTTGCATCATCTCAAAGTGGAGGATATGGCTTGGATTTTAAAATCAACAATGTCTCACTCAACACTCAAGTGGAAAATATTTCTCTTCACTACATATTATAGAAGTATAGTTGTTTGCATCACTACAAGGATTGACAAGAGTCTAATCATTTGAGAAAGGTTTTAAAAT